GTGACGGCCATGGACGTCGTGTACGCCTTGAAGCGTCAGGGCCGCACCTTGTACGGCTTCGGCGGCTAAGCCATTAAACTGTGGCGACCATAGAGTCGTCAACCACACTGGTGTTTTTCAACACCACCCAACACACAAGAAACGAGTTGCGTATTCACCTTTTCTGCGATGGACTGCCATTATTTTGTGTAAAGTCCGAGACACAAATGACTTTGATGATTGTATGTGACCACGTTTGTTGACTCAAGATGTCGGCCAGAAACTCGAATTGCGTTTTGAGTTGCTGGTTCTTGATGAATGTCCACCGTTGCTATTCCAAGACGGTGTGAGCAGACGCTGGTGTTATGAGAAGTCATTTGTTTTATCTTTATTTCTGCCGCACCCTTTCATATTTTCTCTCGTTCTATTTCATATCGTCACATTCAACTTCCAAACCCCTTTATTCAAGCAGGCACGTTCGCAAGCCTGGATGAATTTCGTCGTTTGAGCCCCAAATAACGGGTAAACGAACGAGAAATATGAAAGGCTTGGGTATCCTCATGAGCACTCGGTCGCCACACGATGTGGAAGGATGTGCTCACGACCATTATCAAAGCTGGCGAGGCATCTCAGCTTTTGGTTAATCGGCTGGGTCACGAGTGCATTTTCGTTCGCACTATCCGATCATGCTACTAGTATATGATTGACTTTAGCTGCGTTGTTGCACGTTCATTATTACTATATTGGACCAAGGGTCTATGAACAGTTTATGGACCCTTGATTGAACATCACAATTGAACGACAGTAGAATCGACGACGCAGGAGCAAGCACAGTATACGTCTTGTCAACGAGGACTGTAGCTTTGGCAAGAAGTTGACACAGCATGAATCGTCGAGGACAGCCTTGCAACAGATGCCCTCCAAAAGTCACTACTGCTTCCGGGAATGTGGTGTCTCTTCTGGTGCCTCTTTGGCTTTACATCGCACATCGACGTCTTCAGCCCGAAGCACTGCGGGCGATGTCGTCCCGTTGCTTTCGATGGCGTTGCGAATAGAGTAAAGAGCCGGCGCCTGGGCCTTGCACGGTTGCGCGCGGGGCTTCCCTAGAGCTTTTCGATCAGTAAATGTAGCGCATTGCAAGACGCCGATCGTTACACCACTGACGACAACTAGGTCATGCGCCGGCAGTCATCTCCATCATCATTTGTGACTTCGGTCTCGAACTTTACACAAAATAATGGCAGTCCATCGCAGAAAAGGTGAACACGCAACTCGTTTCTTGTGGTTTGGGTGGTGTTGAAAAACACCAGTGTGGTTGACGACTCTATGGTTGCCACAGTTCAATGGCTTAGCCGCCAAAGCCGTACAAGGTGCGGCCCTGACGCTTCAAGGCGTACACGACGTCCATGGCCGTCACCGTCTTGCGGCGCGCGTGCTCCGTGTACGTGACCGAGTCCTTGATGACGTTCTCGAGGAAGACCTTGAGCACGCCGCGCGTCTCTTCGTAGATGAGACCCGAGATGCGCTTGACGCCGCCACGGCGCGCGAGACGGCGGATCGCGGGCTTGGTGATGCCCTGGATGTTGTCGCGAAGGACCTTGCGATGGCGCTTGGCGCCGCCCTTGCCGAGACCTTTACCGCCCTTGCCACGTCCCGACATGTTGTTGAGGTGTT